TATAAGAGACAGGTTCAGAGCGGCGGGTCTGTCGCTGTGAGCTTTTCCGTTTGACCGTTTCCCCATTTACGAATGTTTCTTTGACTTGCAGGGTGACTTTGTAGATAGAGGTTACTATAGTCTTGAGACTTTCACTTACCTCCTCGCACTAAAAGCCAAGTGGCCTGACCGTATCACGCTGTTGCGAGGCAATCACGAAAGCAGGCAGATAACACAAGTGTATGGATTTTATGGTAAGTCTCTATCCAAACGATTTCTGGTCGGGGGTGATGACGTGGCCGCACCTTTCCCTCGGGCAGCACTGCCTGGGGCTGGGGGGAAGGGGGCTCAGCACCACTTGGGATGTTGTCGCTTATTAACGCGGTCGTTGTGTTTAGCGAGGTAGAACGGGGTTTAGTCCACAGCTCGCTGCTCCTTTCCTCCAGCATCTGGGTTTTCTCTTTGTTCTTTTGGTGCCACAGTCAATTTTAGAGACGGAGCATATTTTTATACAGAATGTGCTTTAGTATCTTATAACGAAAGGTTCTACGCGGAGCCGTGACGTTGCTGTAACTCACCTTAGCTTCAGTATCGCTGGCGGTGCCACACGGAGTTTGCCGTGGAAGCCATTTACTGCCAACAGGGAGCACCTGGGAGAATGCCCCTGGCAAGGGATAAACGGCAGAACAACTGCCTGAAAAACTCAGGGAGTTAAATTGGTTGGGAACTTCTTTGTTGTTGTGTGAGGCTTTGATAAAACCTAAGGAAACCCTGGAAAGTCTCTAACACCCACCACAGGGCGTCACGTCTGTAAGGCACCTTCTTCTGGATAATGTCTCTGAGCAAGTCCACGGGCTTGCGGGCCGCCGAGGAAGCGCCTGCCTGTCGGTGTCTGTAGCTTTAAGGAAAGGTCCTGTAGCTCCCCTTGGCGGGGGGAATATCTTCCACTTTGTGCTTTCTGTCTTAATTCTCCTATATCAATTTTGCTAATTTAAGCCCGTGGCTGGTGAGGGGGTTCCCGGGAGGCAGCGGAGGCTCCGCCCGTGTGTGGCTCCCTGAGCGCAGGCCGGCGGGTCCCTCGGTCCCCTCCCGCGGGACGGACCCACGCTGCCCACCAGGGTTTTGTTACGTGTCCGACTCGAGCTCTGCCGTAAGCGTCTGCCTCCGATCGTGTTGTCTGAGTGTCTTCTGATCCATTAAGAAAGAAAAAAATTCTCTGTCCAACAGATGAGTGCCAAACCAAATACGGGAATGCTAATGCTTGGAGATACTGTACCAAAGTCTTTGACATGCTCACAATAGCAGCTGTAAGTGTAAACTCCACGTTACAGAAATACAAGTAGGTTTGTCTAAACGCGACGGCTGGAGGTGGTGACCTCTCGGGGTCACACCGGAGTGTTCCGGGATGGCTTAAAACACCGAGTATTTCACACGTGGCTGTTTTTCTCCAGTTAATAGACGAGCAGATTCTCTGTGTGCACGGTGGCCTCTCTCCAGACATCAAGACGCTCGATCAGATTCGAACCATTGAACGTAATCAAGAAATTCCTCACAAAGGCGCCTTCTGTGACCTGGTTTGGTCTGACCCGGAGGATGTCGACACGTGGGCGATCAGCCCGCGAGGAGCAGGCTGGCTCTTCGGCGCAAAGGTGACGAATGAGGTAATGATGCCGTGGCATGCGGCGTAAAGTGATTGCGGGTGGGAGGTGAAGGGAAGCGTTTGGCTCGGTTTGGTAGTTACCGTAGTGATGAACGGACTGAGGGCACTGGGAGATGGTGAACTTTCCTTGTAAGAGCACCACGAGTGAGTCGCAGTGGTGCAGAAGGTTTGCTCGAGCCAACTTGAAAAAAGGAGTCATGTGGACTTCAGGGCACAAATACAGCTGCCAGATGTGATATTACTGGAATTGCTTTTAAAAAATGTAACGCAGTGAGACTGACTCCTATCACTAGGGTTTGCATAGAATACTTTTCTGAGGATTTAGGGGAAAAAGAATGTAATTTTCTTAACAATTCTTGACTTAATTTTTCATAGAATCACAGGATGCTTTGGGTTGGAAGGGACATTAAAGCCCATCCAGTGCCACCCCCTGCCCCGGGCAGGGCCACCTTCCCCCAGCCCAGGGTGCCCAAAGCCCCGTCCAACCCGGCCTTGAACCCTTCCAGGGAGGGGGCAGCCACAGCTCCTCTGGGCAGCCTGGGCCAGGGCCTCACAGGGAAGAATTTCTGCCTTAGATCTGATCTAAATCTGCCCTCTCTCAGTTTATACCAGTTACCCCTCGTCCTGTCCCTCCCCCCGTTCCTGCAGCCCCTTTCAGCCCTGGGGGCCGCTCTAAGCTCTCCCCGGAGCCTTCTCTTCCCCAGCTGAACCCCCCAACTCTCTCAGCCTTTTTGTCACTCTGGAGAGCAGCGAGCACCCCGGAGCTGCCCCTTTCTGCAGAGGGAACAGACTTGGGCGCCGCAGCCGTCCCCTGCGTTTCAGAGGCGTTTCTCACTGCCCAGGTCTCAAAACCCGAATAGTTGTTTGGGGTTTTTTTCAGTGCATGGGGTGAAAGAGCTTCTCATTAACCCCTTCATGGCGTGCAGGGCTGTAGCTGGAGGGGGCTGTGGGGTGGGCAGTGGCGTGGGGCTGCTCAGAGAAGACTGACTTTCCTTTTTCCCTTTACAGTTTGTTCACATCAACAACTTAAAACTCATCTGCAGAGCGCACCAGCTAGTTCACGAAGGGTATAAATTCATGTTTGACGAGAAGCTGGTAACGGTATGGTCTGCTCCAAATTACTGCTACCGCTGTGGAAATATCGCGTCAATCATGGTCTTTAAAGATGTAAATACAAGAGAACCAAAGTTATTCCGCGCAGTTCCAGATTCAGAACGTGTAATTCCTCCCCGAACAACCACGCCCTATTTCCTCTGAGACCTTGCCCTGCCTGCTGTCTCCCTCTCCCCTTGTACTGTCCCTTTACAATATACTTTTTATTGAGCACTTTGCTGCTGAAATGCTGCCTCTTGCCTTTTTTATTTTTAAATTATCTAAATTTATTGTGTATTATGGTGTCTGTAGCAAGTTGTTTGTTTTTTTTTCCCCCCCTCCTCCCCTAGATTAATTTCAGAGTATTTGTAACACGTCCTTGAGATTTATACTACTGCATGTAGTTCTTGCATATTTCTGGGTTTAGATGAAACGTTTTCCTTTTAACAATCGTGATAGCCGGGCAGCAGCTCGGTCCCAGTGTGTTATTCAGCTTTTTGTTTGGTAAGTTTTAAGAAATTTCAGCAGCAAAGTCACTACCCAGCGTGCACGATGGGACTGTGAATGCCTTGTGTTGTGTACACCTCCGCGGCGCAGAGCCGGACCCCTCCTCAGAGCTTGTTTTAAGTGGATAAAAATAAAGTGGTCAGAAGGGCTTTTCCCCCCTCCCTTCCCCCCCACCCTTT